TACAGAGTAGTCCGTCCGTGTCCTGCTCTGCAGACCAGCGGCTCTGAGTCTGTTCCTTGTGGCCCCGCAGCCCAGGCCCAGATTTGTCCTGGTAGGAACTAGATGGTGTCCTTCATTCTGCCCAGCGAGCCTTCTTTCACACTCATCTTGGTTTCTTGCTTTTTTGCTATGGGTTTCGTTTGCTGTGGTAGCTTATGACGTTGTTATCTTTGTAACCACAACCGGCTCATCTCCAGATATCCCAGTGTTTATTCTATGTGCTTCCCATCCGGGTCATGGGTGGGCCTCATCTGTCTCTCATGCCCAAGGGCTCAAAGCAGGTGGGCTTCTGTTAAGAACGTGGTAGAAGGTGACTCTTCTCAGGCTTTGATTTGGGGAGAAATTCTGCCTCTCTAACCAGCTCCTGGGTGACACCAGCGCTTTGGGGCCTCGGCCCACACTATATGGCAAGGACTAGGTGACATCATAGGTCCCTCCCAACGTGACACGTCACATCTCAGGGCTGCGGTGGGGTCCTCGGAGAGTGCAGGATCCTGATGAGAAAAGTTGAAAAACTGAAGGCCACAAATATTAATTATTCTTCTCTAGGAAATTCAGTCAGGAGGGGGGAAAATCAACATGAATTTATTACCAGTAAACCCATTTTTGTGTTTCCTGCACGTATCTTTGCCTTGGGTCAAGAGACAATCATTCTGTCCACCTCCACAACTTCCCTTGCTCTCCCTCTTCTTCCAGTAACCTCGACCCCTCTCCTCCACACACACTCCGTCGGGCTCTCCTGTGCAGCCATAAAGTCCCCTCCATCCTCAGGTCCTCACTCAGATGCTCACACTGTGCTCTTACAAGAGGAGGAGAACACAGCTTGGACTCCTTCAAACCAAGCGCCCGTGGAGGGGCAGGAGGCCGGGCCATCCCCCCACAGCCGAGATGCTGCCGGCTTTAGCCACAGCTCCGTCCCTTGTACACTGGCTCACCCTAAACCATTTATGCTATGCCCATGGCCAGGCCAGATGAAGCAGGAATCTTCAGCCCAGCCGTAAGTACAAACTTTCTGCAGAGTCTAAAACCTAATGGATCAGCTTAGAACTGCTTGCAGTGGGCGGGCTCCACAGGTTTTGCTTTTCTCTTTCTGGCATGAAATTTAGGAAGGTGGAAAAGTAATATCTCAGCTGCCTGATATCGCTTTGGTCCCATTTTGTGTGTTTTTCAAGAGCACAGATCAAGGATAACAACCTCAATTTCCCTCTTCTCTTTGCTGAAAAAATCCAGCTTAGTAAAAGGAACTACTTCCACAACATTCATGTTACATTGTGTACATGTAAGTAGAAAGAATTTTAAAATCTTTCTGTAAGATTTCCAAGTCCATTTGCATAAGCCTGAGGTCAAATTGTTCGACTTATTCCAAGATCAAAACCAATGGCTGGCATAAATTCAAAGCCTTTGCAGCTACTACAAAGAAAGCTGCAAGTTGGCAATGTGCAAGGGCTGAGGGAAGAGCAGGCAACACCGAAGGTTCCGGAAAGTTCAGAGGAAGACTCAGGCCTACAAGGGAGGGGCAGTGTCTATGGGCCAGCAATCTCACCCCAGGGACCCCTGTGGCAGCTGATTCCACAGGAGACCCTGTGTTGTTAGGCACTGCTGTGTATTAAACGATCTCAAACCCATTGGCTGAAAAGAGCAGCTTTTTCTCTCCCAATTTCATGGGTCAGGATTTTGGCCACATCGCGGCTCCCCTTGTGGCATCCACAGAGCTCTCTAGAGTCTTTGCTGGCACAAGCTCGTCACAAGGACCCAAGATGGCTGTACTCACAGGGGCAGTGAGAAGGCTGCTCAGCGCAGGCTGCTGACCGAAGGCCTTCCCGGTGCTCCACAGAGGGCTGCGTCTCGTCTGGGACAGGTGACATCTGCACAGCACTTAGGCCAAGTCCGAAGGGCACAGGCCCATGTGATACTGACGTGGCAGGGGGCAACAGTTAACTCTCAACTACCCGGGCAAGTGTAGGCTCAAACAGGCAGACCTTCCTTCTCAGAAGAGGACGGATTGATCACAAAGCTTACGCATCGTGATCCACATTATGTTCAGATGTACAAAATCAGTCCTTTAAAACTGCCATTCAACTGGGCAAGCCCCGGATCCTTGTCTTTCAGAGCCCTCACTCCCACTTTTCATGCTCTTCCCAGGGGCCTGCAGCCTTTAGGACCCTCTGTCAACTGCAGGGCAGCCAGCCGCAGGTCTTGCTGGTAAAACCACGCTGTCAGCTTATTGTTACGTATTTCCATGTTGGGATTCTACCACGTCCCCTAAAAACATGGACGGCGAGTGCCTTAGGAAGTGTTTGATATCTATGAATTAAACACTAGGCGGGGCCCTGAAGTTGCTAACATCTGAAGGCTTGAGAGTGTGGAACAGGCTGGCCCAGGAAGGCGCTGCGTGGGCACCCGCAGACCCCGGACACCTCCCCTCGCCGGGCGGATGTCAGTCAGTTACATGCCAACACACTTGGGGTAGCTCCCAGTGGGGACAGGGGCTTGGGGGTGCGATGAACACATGCTAGAACTCAATAGCGGCTGTCAGCTTCCTGAAAGAGGAAGACTGAGTTGTATACTCTGACGGGGTGGCTGTAATGCACGTGGGTTATATCTGGAAACATAAATGTACCACTAACAACGCATGAGCCACAGAGGGCACGCGGGAAAGGAACGTTATCGGCGTCTGCCAGCCTCTACGATGCTTTCACAAGTGAAGTCTGTGCACCCAGGTCCCACAGGGCCTGGCCAGTCGTGTCCCCCAGCTGTGAGCTGACCGGAGGACAAGGCGAGGCTTGGGCAGCAGCAGCAGGGCACGAGTGCTGGGCCTGCCTCTGCCACCTGCCCCGCCCTCCGCCACCTCACGGGCCACACTCCTCACATTGCTCATAAGATGTCATGGAAGAATGTGACCCGCCTCGCTGAGCTTGGGAATAAGGCCGCCAGTGCCGCCATCTCCGTGTGAATGTGCAGTTGGGTTATATGGCCCACACTTACGGCCCACACTTAGGGCCCACACTTACAGCCCACACTTACGGTTCACACTTACGGCCCACACTTACGGACCACACTTACGGACCACACTTACGGCCCACACTTATGGCCCACACTTATGGGCCACACTTACAGCCCACACTTACGGCCCACACTTACGGCCCACACTTACGGCCCACACTTATGGGCCACACTTACGGACCACACTTATGGCCCACACTTATGGCCCACACTTACGGCCCACACTTATGGCCCACACTTATTGCCCACACTTATGGGCCACACTTACGGACCACACTTACGGACCACACTTATGGACCACACTTATGGGCCATACTTACGGCCCACACTTATGGCCCACACTTACGGACCATGCACAGTAGCACACTCTGAAACTCACTCAGTGCCACAGCATCAAAAACTGTGGAGACACAAAGCCCCACTCAGCCACAGCTGCCGTTCGTGGTTATTAGGTTTTGTCTGCCTGGCTGAACCTCACAACTTCCTCAGTCCTTACTCCACTTATAAGTAAAGTTCACATTATGCTAAATATGTAGTTTCAAAACCTCTATTACTACCTCGAGCTCAGAATCCCTGCCAATACCCAGGGCCTCAGGTCTGGCATGTCGGTGAATAGTGAAACAGTATAGGAAGGGAGAACCTTCCAGGTTCTAGGTGTAAATCAGTAAAGGAAAGTTCCCCAGTGAAGGCATGAGCCTGCCGTGCTGAGCCGTGATGTGGGAGCCCTCGCCCCTCGGAGGCTGGGAATCCGCAGGGGTAGGTGACACAGAGCGCCGCCCAAGTCCACGGCCAGGCAGCAAGCAGGGCCGGAGCAAAGCCTCGCAGGTTTTCTGGCTGACAGTTCTGCACCAATGTGAGAAAAGGGATATGGAATCTGTCCACGCGGGCCAGGTCTGTGGCTTCCTCGGAGTAGATGGGCTGGTTTGCATTTACGTGTCGCCAGACAGACACGGCAGGAGGAGAACTCTTCTCTGACCAGACCTGTGATGCCCAGTGTCCAAGCCGCACACAGGTTGGCTTTGCTCTCAGCACCTGTCCCACCCCGGAGTAGGGCTCCCAGCCACAGAGGCCTAGATAGCAGAACTGTGCTTCCTGGAGTCAGCGGACGTTGAGCATGTCAGCTCCTAGGGATGCTGTGATGAGGGACCACACCCTCTGACGACAGGGTCCTAGCCCTGAGCCTACCCCTGGGGCTCCTGCCTCACTCTTCTAGCCCTGGTGGTCCCAGGAACTGCTCGGTTGGTGGCTTCCTCAGCCCAACTCTGCCGCCACCTCCTCCCCTCTCCTGCCTCCTATACGTTTGCCTTTAGGGTTAGACCCTGCCCAGCCAATGCAGGGTGAGCTCGCCGTCAGATCCTTAACATAGTCTGCAGACACTACTTTCCCTCAAATATGCCACACTGTCAGGCCCCAGGTGGCACATCCTGCGCAGCCCCCAGCAGGCCTCCCCACGGGACCTCTGGGTAAACTGGCCCTGCCCTTCAGATGTGAGCGTTGGGGTCTTGAGGCAGAAGAGAGAAGGGGCCCCTCTGCCCCACTGGGGCTGAAGCTGCTGAGTCACAGTGATGAAGAGCTTGGGAGTCCTGGAGCAAGTTAGCAGGGATGGCCTTGAGCCTGTGAGGAAGGTCAGAGGCTGGGTGGTGGCTTCCAAGCCATCCCTGCATCCTGGATGTCACCAGGGCCTCCCAATGCCCACCGTCCCACAGGGGCAGAGGTGGACACTCTCTCAGTAGGACAACCCTTTGGTATGGCTCTAGGAGTCAACTTCCAGAAGTCCAGACAAGAACTTACAACTCTCACTTCAGCACTAGGGCCTCACGCGTGCTAGGCGAGGCCTGCCCCGGAGCCACAGCCCCGGCCTCTTTAAAATGTTTTATTCTGAGACAGGGTCTTGCCAAATTGCCTAAGCAGGCCTTAAACCTATGACCCCCCCCCCCCCCGGGCCTCTTAATACCCAGGACTACAGGCTGGTGTCGCCCCTCCCTTGCGCGCTCAACTCCTTGCGTGAAATCTCTGCCTCCAGAGGTGCTGAGCGCTGCTTTCTGCAGCGGGCCCTGCAATGCACTCCCTCTTCGCAGCTGAAGAGGGAGGTTTTACGTTTACAGTGGCATCATCTTTCTTGTAGTGCGCGCTCTCCCTGATGCTTGGCTCTTGATGAGGAAGAGAAAAACCCGTTAGGGCAGCGACATGCGGGCATCCCTAGCTTAGGGCTTGGAGCGGAATTCTGTGTGATGCGGCAGCACTGGGAAATGGCGCTGCCCATTGGTCCAGACTCACAGAATTTCACAGCACAAAAGCTGAGCCTCACTGTTTGTCCATCTCTAAAACTCCTTTGGGACCTGCGCTGCTGAGGCGGGCACTGAGCCTCATTCAGGAGTCGCAGTGTCTTGGTGGAGAGGTGAACGAGGTGATCTGGCCTGACTGAAGCCTCGCAAAGCGACCCCATCAGAATGACGGGGGCCGAGACCCCCATCTGCCTGGCTCTGGAATTGGCGAGTGTGTAAGACTGAGCAGAAGGAACTTCTGGAAAGGTGCCAGTCACTTTCCTTTCTGTGAGTACTGTCCCTCCTCACTGGGACCTGGGCAAAGCATTGGGAGACAGACTGCTGGGTTCTGCTCAGAGAGGGCCTGCGTGCTGCTTTCAGGCACATGACGTCTGCCCAGGATGCGTGCTACCCACAGTGGCCTGAGGCCCTGACACTGCAGCTCAGCCGGAGCTCTGCCCCATCTGGGCCAAGTTCCACGGATCCTGGAGGCAGCTATGATGTCCTCAGCTTCGTGGTGTACGGACAGAGGCCTGGGTTTCCAGCCTCTTTGAAAGCTCAGACTAAGTCCTAAGTTGCATTCAACGATGCATATGGCTTCACAGGCCGGGGCAGACAGGTTCTATGGAGAAGGCTCCAGGAGCTCCCACTGTGATCTGACCGGTCACCTGCGTGTCCACCCCACAGGTGTCCGAGGGGCAGCGGAGAGTGCGGGGCCGTCCTGCTCGCCGCCGCCTTTCAGCCTCTCCTCACCCCTCTTTCCCACGGCCTCAGTCAGGCCCCAGAGTGGGCTTCTGGCCCTGCAACTTCCCCTGCTTTTCTCACTGGTCCTTACACAGGTCCTGGGTGCCTGTTTGTCCCTGCAGCCTGAGCCAAATGTCCTAAATTAGAACTGAGACTTTTTAAAAACATGGACGCGGTGCAGTGGGGCACGCTGACTAGCGGGCTGTGGTGTTGAAAGCCACTCGTTCAGTTTATTGTTCTTTGATGTCCAAGTCGTGGCAGCCTCTCCTGCTTATTTTGCTAGGGGAAGCAAAGGTCATCAAGTTGTGTTTTTAAGGCGACTGATACACTTTTACGAGAGGGGCTTTGTAGAACTGCTGAAGAATATCCATGTCTCTTCTAGCTAAGTGTGTGACCCTGCTGTGGCCCTGGAGGCCACTCAACACCAGGGTCACTGCCACATCATCCCGGGGTTGCTCAAGGACGCGGACTTCTTCACTTGACTAGCAGAAATGTTCGTCTAGTTGAAGGAACAGGCCTTCCGCAGGGCCCCTGGCCGGCACCGGGCGGCCCAGCCGCGGCTGCAGTGGCACGGACCAGGTACGTCCACCACCTCTGCCAAGGCTCACTGGGCTCTGGGCACTGCCCACGCAGCTGGCTGCAGATCAAGGTCACCAGAGCGCCCCTCACCCTGGCCAGGCCAAGTGATCACTGCAGGATCCCGGGAAGGATCATGCATGTAAACCTTCCAAGTGTGAAGCAAAAGGTGGACAGCATGCCCGGCCAATCTGGAAAGCCGCAGGTCAGAGGAGTTTCCGGGGCCCCGGCGGGGCGGCAGCTGTTCCCACTTTCTCAGTGGAGCAAGGGTGGGAGGTGGGAGGTGGGATGGGGGTGGGGTGGGGGTGGGTGCTGCTCTGGTGCTAAGGAGAAGCCACAGTGGTGGTGCCCACATTCTTTTTTTTTGTACCAGGGATCAAACTCAGGACCTGCGCTTGCCACACGGGTGCTTGTGCCGCTGAGCTGTCTCCAAGTAGTGTACCCCTTAACTCCGCTGCCCAGCCCTGCACGAAACCTGCGAATGGGGAGCTCCGTCACCACCTGCACATAGCGGCTGTCAGTGCTGAGGGCAGCAGGGCTGAGCTTGCCCTGGCCTCTGCCCCTGGGGAGCGCAGTCACCTCACCACCACTCCCCAGCATCTCGGGGTTCTCGAGGACCAGCATCTGTGGTGCCAGGGGAGCTGGGGCCTATGTGCGGGCTTGGAGAGCAGCAGGCAGAGCCCAGGGCCCTGGACCATGCTGCACTAACACAGCCCAGCACCAGGGCCGCCCTCAGAGGCTTTGGGCTTCGTTTCTGCTCTGTGTCTACACAGCCTGCTTCTCATTTCCAGAGGAACATCAGCAGGAGCGCCCCACCTTACGCTAAAATCTTGTCACCAACAGGGCAGCTCGAAATAGCAGGGACAGGAGCCTCCACCCAGCCAGCCACACCTGGGCAGGCTCAGGGAAGAACAGCCGCCTGACTTCTGGGTGCCAGGCTCCAGTCCCACGCCTGCGCACCCCCTTCCCCGTAGTTGCATCTCTGTCTTCCTTACTAAGGCATGGGGACCACGCTCTGCACCTGCAGAGTCCAGGATCATTTCTGTCTCCAGTCCTTCACTTAACTGCCACCGTGAAGCTTCTTGAGTTTCAGAAAGCACCATTCACAAGTTCTGGTGTCTTGAGGCAGACACCTTTTGGGGGCAGCAGGTGCCTTGCACACATTTGGCCTGCTGCTGACTGTGTGAACAGTGTCAGTGCTACTGTGTTCTTGGTAGTGTGTTTTCCTTCCAACCACACAATACTTTATGAAAGCAGCAATTCTCCAAGAAAACAGAGTCCGGGAACCGTTTGGGTGGGGCTCTAGGTGTTCAAAGACTGCCACCTGATACTAGAGGCGACTTTCTCTTAGTTCAAAGCAGCTCTGCTTGCCTTAGTTCTCAGCTTGCGGTTTCTAATTCCATCTTCCCTGGAGAAGAGTGTAGTCCACGTTTGGGGCTGGGAACCCCAGGATGAGCCAGAAGTCCTGGGAGGTGAGAAGGCTGGCAGAGCCCTGAAGTCTCCTGGGTGACTCGGGCAGCTGCACACCTGTGACCAGAAAGTGGAGGGGGAGAAACGTCAACTGTCTGTGGTGGAGTTGGATCAGGAAGGGGCACCACTCAAGCCTCTGGGGGAATGCCAGGAAATCAACTCCCTGCATTTATATCTGGTAGCAAAGAGACTCAGTATGTAACCTGGCTTAGGTTGGTTGGTTGGTTGGTTTATGCACTGATCCTGCCTGTTTTGCTTTGATATGATTATGTTCTGGGGTAGTCCAGTAGTTGACAACAAGTTTCTCTTGTGGAATCATTTCAGCTAATGTCAGGTTCTAGAATTAGAACAATCAAGCCCACCGGTGGATGGTGAATGAATGAATGGACCAATGACGCAGGTACTGATGATCCCAATGTCACAGAGGCTGCGGGAACTAGACTTGTGTGCTGACCACAGAAGCACATACCGGAAACACGGCTGCTGAAAGCTCAGAAGAGCAGCCCTATGAACCCAGGGCCGATTCCAGCCTAGAACCACGGCTCAGAAACACAGGCAGGCGACAGGCGAGGTGGGTGCCACTGGTGTGGCTCCCCATGGAACCAGACTCACAGGACCAAAAAAAGGAATGCGTGTAGAACATGTAGGTTAAGGGTCTCAGGGATAAAGTGGTCAGTCACGAGGTGCAGATCTGGCTGCATCTTCTTCAAAACCATAAATACCTCACAATAAGACACGAGAGAAACAGGAAGTATGAGCAGGTATGTGGAGATATGAGGAATTGCAACTAATTGCTTAAAGATAATTTTAGAGCAATTTTAAACCTGCAACAAAATTGGGAGGTGCATGCAGAGATTTCTGAAGGACGCTTGCCCTCACACAACATAGCCCTGCGAGGCCCCTCGGTGCTCGCCTGTTACCCCAACCCTGACAGTCACGCGTCTGCCTCTGTCCCCACAGTTCTGCAGCAATCATGTAGGCTAGAGCTTTTCAGACTGGCTTTTCCACCTGGCAGCCTGCATTTCCCTCTCCTCCGTGGTTTTCGTGGCTTGGTAGCTTGCAGTTTTTAGCACGGAGTTCTAGTCTGTCTTCTTCAGGGACATAGCTCGGTCCTCCACTAACTCGCTGAGGGCGCGAGGTGCTCTGGGATTCAGCACTGGAGTAAAGTGGCTGTTGCTGCCACTGGGCAGTGTGTGGGCACAGTTCTCAGGTCACTGGGCACACATCAGCCGCATGACTGCAGTGTTGCTTGGTGACAGCGTGTCCACTGTGGTGTAAGAACCAACACACAGCGTCCCTCACTTGCCACGGTGGGGGAGGAGACTCCTGCAGCTCTGCATTGTCACCAGCATCTGCCCACCCTGAGCTGGGTCACAGCTCGGCTCCTTCCCGCCGACCTTCTGTACCTGCGCATCTTCTCTGTGAGTGTGTCTGAGACCCAAAGCTCACTTTTAGTCGCTGTCAGTTTCTCTTGGTGCTCCACAAGGTGTGGTAAGTGAAGTCGCCTAGCTGCGCATGCAGACATTCACAGAGAACCGGCACAGTGTTCAGGGTTTCCTTCAGGCAACAAGCCAGCAGCTGTTGACCTGGATGCCTGTCCACAGAGTTGAGTGCACCACTCTTCTACTATACAAGTTTGAGCTTCAGGCTGCAGGTCGCATCTTTCTTTATCTCTGGGCTTAACCTGAACACCCACAAGAATAAAGCAGCACCAGGCCCAGGGCACCCAGTGTGCTGCATGCGAAGCGTATGTGGGCAATCCTTAGGAGCAGCGTAGCAGGTATCCAAAGCGCCCCAGACTTGGGAGCAGGGAACGCAAGACTCCAAGCTCAGGTGCTCAGTCCCACAGGCTGCTCCATGTACCTTTCATTCTCCATGAGTTTTGCCTGAAGGCCCTTGTGTTCTAGTGTGTATTAGAGCTAGACATAAGATTTAAACGTGATATAAATCTTATCAAGTTCCAAGATTACTTTTATTGCCCCTTCTCAGATACCTTGGTAAGATTCAGGCTATAAACCTCATATTAGCACACACCTTGTAGTACCTTGGAGTTGGAGAGACAATTATAAGCAAAATTCAGCTCACCTCATAATGCGGACTTTCACTAGGAAGAGAGTGAAGAAACAAAATCATTCAGAACAGCAGCGTGCTGGCTAAGCTGGCCACTGTCCCAAGGAAAGGGCTCCTTCCTACCTCTCTGAAATTGTGCTTCTCCTCCCTACGCCAGCTGGGACCCCTGGGAGCAGCACGGAGCACCCAGGACCTCTGGTGCTCACTGTCTTGTGAGTAACTGCTGGGCGCTGGCACGGAGGAGCCGGAGGGAGCAGCACCCTCCTGTGCGTCTGTGAGGAAGTCAGCCTGGTGGTGGGAGGAGGCCTGAACTAAGAGCTCTGGTGGCCAGGGGCTCAGATGCACTTAGTGGAACCCTGACGCCAGGGCACAGACTGTCACGGTAAGATGATCGCGTTCTGGGGGCATGGTGGGCAGTGCAGGTGCTGTAGTGGTTGCCGACTCCACTGTGACAGCCCACAGGCAATTCTTGACAACAAGCCATCATACATTCCTCCTAAACATACAGTCTTCATCTGCCAGGTTACTTAAAAAAAAAAAAAAAAAAACCAATTAGAAAGTACCTGCGAGTGTTCCCATAGAATCCCTGAGTTCTCCGCTCCACAAGTCATGGCCCCATGCATCCTGACGGATGTGTCAGAACCCCACCCTGTGTGGCCACACACAGCCTGGTCCCTTCCCAGGGGACCAAGCACAGCCACAGGAGCCCAGATGACATCATTAGTAGCTGGGATCAGCGCAGCAGCACCTGGGGGTTGTCCTTGGAATTAAATGAGTTGATAGCTGCAGACCACGCCATTGCTATCGCTGTTGTGTTTGTGATGATCCCGTCCTCACCCAGGCCCGCCATCGCCCCCCACTCTACGCTCTTCCCACCTCTCCCTACCACCTTGGATCTTCTTCATTCTCTGAAACACTGCTGATTCTAACTGCAGTGTTTACTAAAACCCTACCGCAACTGGGTCTTGGACAAAGCTCCTTTTCAGAAGTCCCTGGAGGACCTCTCTGTACTCAGCCTTCGGCCTGCAGCAGCATCTCAGGAGGCAGCTATGGAATCACAGGACTGGGGTCCCTGGGTCCCCATGTCCACAGGGCCCCCTAAATCTTGGCCTGCTTCCCAGCAAGTAGAGGCTCTGGGCAATGATTTCTACCCAAGTGCTCGTTGCTCACAGTAATGTTGCCTTTGCCACCTCCAAAGCAGTCCAGCAATTCACCCTGAGCTGCCCCAGGCCAAGGCAAGATTTGTTTGCACTCTGCCTAACTGAAATGGCCCATGGTATGATATTTTTCTTACAAAGTAAAGGATGGTCTTCCCTTAAAAGAGACTTCTGCAGCCAGCTCTAGAATGACTGACATTAGCTGCTTTTTTTCATTTGGCTATAAATTATTTTAGAGATTTGATAAAAAAACACAGTGACTGCATTAAAGCTGTGTTATGGTAAAGGACTCACTGTCACAAATCCCCCTCAGAATACACGCACACACTCGTCCCACTGCTCTTGTCACTTTCCGAGGCAGCTCTGGAGATCCTTTCCGGTGAGGGTGTGGTGAGGTGTGACCAGCCCTGGGGGGCTCACAGCTGCTGCGTCCTAGCTGCCTCGTCCACCAGACGCGCTCGCGAACCTTCCAGCTCTGCTCCAGAGTCAAGTGACCATGAAAGGGAGGCATTTTGAATCCATTCATGATTGAGGCATGAACGAAAGAGAGTTGTGGTCAAAGAGGACGGAGAACTGCTGCAGAAAGAGGCAAGAACAATTGGGTGCATGTTAGGCGCAAGGGGCAGCATTTCCGGGGGATTCATGACATTGTATCTTTCATTGTAACATATTTATAAAAATTTAAACATTCACCAGAGTTTTGGGCTACAACTTGTGTGTGTAAAATATCCCAAGTGGAGTGGGTGACTCTTCCATGGAAATCCGGGAGCCTTCTGGGTGGCTCGGTCCTCACTCACCTCTGTCTCCATCTTCTTCCTAAGGAGCTTAGAGGCACAGTGGGAGAGGCCTAGTGCATCAGCCCTGGGGTGTGGACTGGGCCTGTCTTTGTTTCTGTCCCTCTCACAGTGCACCATGCTTGCCTTAGACCCCTCTTCTTCTCTCCATGTCCTCCTGCCCCCCACCAGCCCAGCCCTTTAACTTCATCCAACAGCAGCCTTGTATCACACCGGCCCTCGGCCCTCCCAGGCTTCCCTGTGTCTCCTGATACACTCTTTGCTCATCTACAAGTTCCAGTGGAAAAAATGACAGGCTCTCCCCTGCTTCTGAGGACTAGAGCAAGCCCCACAGCAGCAGCTCAGGGCTTCCTTGGGCCATCACAATAGCAATGCTGAGCACAGCCGTGTGACCTGCATCTAGGAATCGCCCTTAGCAACTCCAGGTGTCAGGATTGGGGTACAGCACAGACTGCACTTTGCAGTGAGGCTGTCACTCATCCGGGGTCTCTCCAAGAGGATGTCAGAGCATGACAGGGCCTGGCTGTCTGCAGGCCACAGCAGCTGCTGTCCTTACACCGTGGCCTTGGTGACGAGGCCAGTCCCATCTGTCCCCACTGTCAGCCTCCCATGTGGACATCAGCTTTACAAGAACAATGCGGTTTCTCCCTGGCTCTCTGTTGGTGCCAGGGCCCAGCCCCTGAGCGTAGTCATGTAGCACCTTTGGTGTTGCTTGTAGCTTTGCACTGCTTTCTCATTCATAAATCCTGCCCTAGGACCTGGTGATGCCGGCCTTGTGAGGTGCTGGCCCAGCACTGAGCCCCTTCCAAAGACTCCTGTATAGAGTTCTTTCCTGCTGAATGCTTGCATTGTCCAAATGCTACAGGAAATATCATACAATGCCTAGGTACTCCTCAGCAAGGGTGAGGGTAACTTGCCTAATGCAGAGAATGTGTAATAAAGGAAACAAGGCTCTCCAACAGCTAGGGAGGAGCCAAACAGGCATATTAAACTATGGTAGTAGGCTGGCCAGATAGCTCAGCAGATGAAAGCACCTGCTTAGGCAGACACAGGGACCAGAGTTCGATCCCCTGTATGCCGGGCCAGCCCCTCCCCCAGGGCATGCTAAGACGGAGTGGCGGCATGCACCTGCAATCCCAGCACTTGTAAGGCTGCAAACAGGAGGATCACTACGAGTCCAATATGTGTAATGAGACCCTGTACTAAATACACAAAATAAATAAATAGACTATGGCAGTACCCTCCAGCAACATGTTTTGAATAATGAAGATTCTGCCACTTTGCAAAGATATACACCTTGTCATCACAACCTACAAAGAGAGTACGATAGCACATGCACGTAACATATTGGCAGGACTGCCTGGGTCGGCTGGTGACAGGAAGGCAGCATCTGAAGGAGAGGAAAGCCACTCAGACACTGTGCACGAAGGAGCCTAAGAAAGTCACTCAGGGCCCCGGGGTCGTTTCTACCCAACAGGTATGCAAGCCAGGAAAAGTGCTCGCAGACTGTCCCTTCAAGATGTCTCCATACCGACTCCCATCGTTACTGAGAAGCTGGAAGGATGGCTTGCGCATGGAACTAATTAGGGACTAAAACTCTACCTGACGCATGCTTTCCTGTTTCCTCTTCTGTTGTGCCTCATTGGAGGGAGCCCAGTAGAGGCGACATTTAGCCTGTCCTCACCTCGTTAGGACAGTTCAGGCCTCTGCCTCCTGGGGCTGGGGTCTCCACTCTGCTCCTTCCCCGCAGCTGCTCAGATCCGACTTCCACACTTCCTTGGGTTTTGCTTCCTTCTTGGGAAGTGCTGCGTCTCCCGGCTAGACTGGAAGGTCTCCCAGGTTTGGTTTCCTTTCTTTTCCATAAAAATCCCCTCAGCTCTTTGTGCAGTTGGATGCCGGGATCGGCACTAATGAATTAAAGCATTATGGGTTGTGCACCCGGCGCTCGGAGAGCTGGGGTCGCCCCCGCCCGTCTCGCGGCCGCTGCCCAAGCCGCATCCCCACGCAGGGCGCAGCTGGAACGGCAGCACGACCCGCTCGGGTTTGCAGGGCCATCTGCCTCTCGGGTGTTTTCACTCTCTTACCTCATTTACTCCTCACCGAAGTCCTGCGAGGTACACCGAGCGGATCTGGTGCAGCCTGCTTGATAGATGGCCGCCGGAGGGAGGGGAGGCCAAGCGGCTCGCCCGGCCTCTCAGCACCCCACTCTGCCTGCCAGAGTTCTTCTGGGGAAAGAAATACAAGCGCGCTCGCTGCGTAGAATGGGCGGCAGCCGCGCGGCTCGGCTCCCCAGCAGCTCTGGGCCCACGCCGCCCCCTGCTAACTGCCAGCCTCGGGACCTGGGGGCGAGGCCTGCTGCGCCCACGGCCTGGCTTTCGCTGGGCAGGCTGGCCGCTTCTCCAGCCCCTGCCCGACATTTGGCTCCCGCTTCCGGTTGGCTTTTCTTCTCCGCAACAGACCTCTTCAGCCTCGGCCACTGCAGATCCGGGCGCTGCCAGGTCAGCTCAGTCCCCGGGCCCACGGGGGTGGGACCTGGCGGTGGGCTCCTGGGGCCCCCAGCCCCTAGACAGCGTCTGGCACAGATGTCACAGGGACGCCCAAGGCAGGAAGGAAGGCTCGAGGTGTTGTCAGCGGGGGCGCTCGCCTAGAGAGGGGAAGGCCCTGGGTTTGATCCCAACATTGCGCACACATTAGAGAAGCAACTTTTGTTTAGTACTCAGAGGAAATGGTCCTTCTGGGGTGGGGTAGGGGTGCCACACACAGGGGTCCCTTCAGAAAAAGGGAGAAGGCAGCGACGCACCCTGGGGCTGAGGACTCCAGAGAGGCTGGTGGGGTGGGGCTTGCAGGGTGTAGGTGGAGGACAGGCAGGGAAGGCAGAAAGGGAGCCCACCCCACCCCCAGCCTCAGGAGATATGGAGTCAGCCCCTGGGAGCTGCTGGTGAGTTTCTGGATGCCTGATGAGGGGGTACCAGGCCAGCCTACATAACCTGAGATGGACGAGTGTCGGATTCACACAGCAGGGCTGTTTTTGCCTCCAGAAAAGTGTGTTCCCGCACCTTTTCTTTGCAGTGGAAAGTGTCAGACCCAGTGGCCTGGGGCGTTGCTAGTTTTCCCGGAGCACCGCCTGGGGTGAGGGCACTCATCTGCATCCCTGTGACTTCAGAAGAAAAACTGAGCAGGTCTGGAAGTAGCAGCCTGCTCCTTCAGGAAGCTCCTGGGCAGGCGGACATGTGATACATTCCACCTGTGGGAGCCCTTCCTTTGGCCCTTCTTTAGCTTGAGGAGAATTTCATGGTGAGAGGTCTAACCAGGGATGAGTGCTCAATTGTGGAGTTTGGCTCTATTTCAAAAGAATCACGTTTCCAGTTGTTGATTGGTTTTGGGTCTCTAAGCTGTCTAAGAAGACCCTGCTAGGTCCCTGGAGATGACCTAGGGTGTCACCGTGGTGGCTGATGCTGGCTTGCAGCCTGAGTTGGGACTGAGAAGGGTACCTGGGCTGAGGGTTGAGACTGGGTTGCCCTCTTGCTCCTTAGCGGACATGGGCAGGACTCCCAGGGTACCACACGGGGCTGAGCAAGGATGACTCTCCATGTGGCCATGGCCAGTGTCCTGCTCACTTTCTCATCCTCTGAGACTCAATACCTGCACTCACAATGTGAAGGAGGAGAGGCTTCCTTTGGCTCACGTTTCTATTCATTGCAGCTGGCACCAAGCAGGAAGGCACCGAACAGGTGCCTGGTGGAGGAGAGCTGCTCATGGCATGGTGCAGGGGAAGTGGAGGGAAGGGAGGAGCCAGAAGGGAGCCAACCCTGTGTGGCCCCGCCCGCCCCCAGCTCCCAGCCCCCCAGCAGCAAGTCAGCCTTGGCCTCGGATCTAGGCCCTCCCAGAGGTCCTACCTATGATCACTCAAGGTTTGGAAGACACCTAGACGTAAACCCTGACACTAAGGACTGGGGGCTTACCTAGGAGCACAGTGTTTCTCCTAGTGTGAGCCAAGAATGGGACCTCAGGCTCCCCTGTCCTTGCTGAGCTGAGGCTCTTGATGACCCTGAACCCAGGACCCTGCCAAGACGCTGGGCACCGACTCAGCAGCCGCTTGCTTTTCTGAGCCCCAGAAAAGGCTCCTTCTGCTCCTGTAAGGCCTGCTTTCTTGGTAGCAGTGTCACAGGAGGTGTGCCAGGGCTCACGTGTGATGTCAGCAAGGACCGAAGGCTTCACGTGTCATAAAATGGGGTGGACAGGGCTGGACAACCTGCAACCTCCTTTGAGTTCAGCTAGCAGGGATTTCAATCCAATGTGGCGACGTAGCCGCTTGTAATTTTGTTTGCTTGTTTGCTTAGTTACTGGGGAATTAACCCCAAGGCTTCCATGCTGAGCTGAATTCCCAGCCGTTGGTTTTAATTTTTGAGTCAGGCTCTGCTAAATCCTTAAGTTGCCCTAGATGGGCTACCATTGCATTCTCCTGTCTGGGCCTCCCAGGATCTGGGGTTGCGGGCACACGTGCACCACCACAGCTAGCCTAGACGACTCATTTCTTTTCAGGATGGACGGGCTGCGTTATCCATTTGCTGTTGCTCCAGCAGAGTTCTGCAGACCGAGTAACTCCTGAGGAACAGGTGCTTATCTGGCTTGCTGTGTGGCTGGGAAGTCAAGTCCACTTTGAGTTCACCCTATGCTTTGTGGCTTTGCTGGAAGTGGCAAGAGGTAACCAGCACCTGTCAGCGTAAATCACACCCACTGCTTCCCCCAACAACTACATAAAACACCATGCTTTATGTCCCAAGAAATGAGAGGAGACGGTTTTCCGCAGAGAATGTTTTCGTATCGTGTAACAAGAGCCGAGCACTTTCTTGCCTGTGAAATCTGGGTCCTAATTGTCAACGCCTGATTTTTCCCCTCAGCCAATGTCATATTTTAGGTGCTGTTACTGAAGCACTCTGTTTCTGGCACCAGGTCCCCTTGGTAAGGGTGACTGACAGTAGCAATATCCAATGGGCAAATGGCATCAAAAAATGAGAGATTTCTTTTCCTTCCAAAATTAGAACTCCAGTGGTAATTTCCTAGGGCTGAAAATATCCTTGCTTATGAATCAGGACCTGGGCCCCCTTTAGTTTTTTATTCAGCCCTTCAGCTGGCAGAATTCATCCTCAACTTGGTACCTCCAGGTTGCAAAATGGCTGCTCCACTCCAGCTTCATATCTGCACCCAAAGTAAGGAGAAGGGAAAGGCACAATGATAAAAACTCCTGCAAGCTACATCTGCCTCCGTTTGAAACATTTTTCAATAAAGCCACACAGAACAATTTTCCTTTCATCAGTGAAAGATGTCACATCCCCCACCCCCAGCTGCTGGGGTGCAGGCTGGGAATTGCAGTTGTTTGGCTGGCTGGGCAGGAGCCATCTGAACAGGTTGCGCTAGCCCTGTAGCTTGGATCGCAATTGTTCCCGGGCCTGCATGCTCCAGGTGGGTCCTCAGCCTCTCAGTGGGGAGGCTGGCAGGAAGCTTGCCGGCTTCGGGAGGGTCCTGGCTGCTTCTCTCTCACTCTTGGCAAGGACCACGACATGAACAGCTGCCTCCACTGTGTGCTCCCACTGTGCTGCTTCCCTGTCCGCAGGCTCCAAACCAGGGGCCACCAGCCACCGCTGGAAACCTCCGGCAAGGAGAGTAGCAGAACCTGTTGTCTCCAAGAGCCGATTGTGATTGCCCGAGGCGCCCGTTGCAGTGGCCCCCACCCACCCTCAGCTGCCTAGCCCAGCCACAAAGGCAGGGAACTAATCAGAAGTTACCAGCAGGGCCAGCTACAACAGCTATTTTTTTTCCCCATAATTTTTTTGAGAAACAAATAGCAATGAGACAGTTTCAAATCACATTAGTAGGACAGTTTCATTAACTAACACATTGCACATTGCATACTGTCTACCTAGTGGTTATTTGTTGTACAAGATGCAGACATGATATCTTATTTACAAACACTATTAGAACAAATCCCTCTGTTCATCGAAGTAAGAGAATGTAGCTGTATATCTATCCTAACCATTTTGAATACACAGATACTAAATGTCATTCATCTGTATCCCCTTTTTTTTAGTTCTATCTTTTATTATAGGTGTGTGAACTCAGCAAAATATTCCAAAATAGTCCAGTAGTCCATAATAATATTGGGTCTTCATGACTGGCAATGTCAGAAGTTTAGGTGATTCAACTGCTAAGCAGGACAAAGAAAACAGACCTGAAAATTCTGTCAAAGCTATAGAACACAGTCTTGGAGCTTGGGAGAAAGCAAGCTGTGGGTGTGGGGCAGGGATGGTGAGGGCACCTGGGACTCTGCAGGGGGAAGCACGAGGGCCCAGCAGCCCCTGGGTGAGGAGCGGCCAGGGAAGCAAGTGCCAGCCTGCGGGGTCTGTCCTCCTCGAAGCTGAGTGACTGCCACGGTGGTCCCTGCAGGGCAGAGACTGAGGCTGCATTTCCCCACGGTCAAGGTGGCCTTGGGGCCTAGAGGCTCCTTTCTCTCCCGCTCTCCCTCGCAGCTCAGCTGCCCCACTGTCTCCTTCCCCATGTTGACAACTCAGAGGCCACCCTGGCCAGCCTGTCCAGGGCTAAGGACCGATCGCCAAGCGCTGTTCGTACACAGATCCAAAGATGGAGTGTACACCCCACCGTTGGTACTGAGGATGTCTGCCCTCCACGGTCTGTGCTGTGGGCTGTCTTGCTTTTGCGACGGTTGTATTGTAGTTCACGAACCATGAGGTTCACTTAAACCCGCGTCAGTGTTCAGGGTGCACGCCCAGTCGCTTAGCAGCCGTCTCTACACAGGCCACAGGGAGTTCCCAGCCCTGTCCTTCCAGGCTTCAGGGGAGCCCCTGCCAGCTGAAATCCTCCGATGTGTGCCCTTTGCGGCTTCCATCGCTTAGCGTGAGAAGCTTCATGGGGTTGTGGCACGTATCACTTTTTCTTCTTATTGCTGGATAATATGTCACTTAAATATCTTACATTCTAGTTATCTGTTCAGTTTATTGACATTTGGTTATGTATTTGGCTTCTATGAATAGTGCTGCCACGAATGCTCACATTCTCTCTCTCCTCCCTCCCTCTCTTTCTGGTACCAGGGATTGAACTCAGGACCCTGCACTTGCCAGGCAGGCACTTATTCTACTGAGCTCCCTGGCCCTCCGTTCCTTCCATCCTTCCTCCCGCCTTTCTTTGCGGTACCAGGGATTGAATTCAGGACTCTCCCTTGCCAGGCAGCAGACACTTATTCTACTGAGCTATCTCCCTTGCCCACTTGCTGTCCTTTCTCTCTCTCTCTCTCTCTCTCTCTCTCTCTCTCTCTCTCTCTCTCTCTC